ATCAACAATGCTATGGCTAACTCCTGAATCTCTGCAGGGCGTGTCTCTACAGAGGTCCTTTTATACTGAGCACAGTACTGTGACACGTCACACGGTACAGCATGTCACAAGGTACTTCAAATATAATAGTCAAAATTTAAACCCATAGGGGGCAGCACCAAGACGTTTTTTGAACAAATATTGAAGATTTAAATTATTTTATATGAAAATGTTAAATTTAGGTCAAAAATAGCAAGGTRTTACCTTTAAGACACAATTTAGACAGTTTCTTTGTTTAAAAAAAGTTGATTTTGGGGTAAGTTACACTTTAAATGGTTGTCCAGACATTGACTAGTCAAACTTGAATACCGCAGAGTGGTAACATAATGACCCCCACATGCAGAAATTCACCAGAACTCAGAAGTCTATTCCTAATAAATGTCATGCTACTAGGTGCATCCCAAAATCCCAAAATTGTAGTATTTTAGGTGGGGGTCTTTTTTATGGGGGGGGGCATTGCTTGACCTGATGGATAGCCCCTCATCAGAGCTAAACAACCAACGAAAATCTGAAGCTCTTATGTTTAATAGTTCTTGAGCAATAACCATTTTTGTACGTCCAGATACCACTTTTTCAGATAAATTGGGGGTCCGGGGGGTGGGCACACTGATTGGTGGGCCTGACGGATAGAGCTTCATCAGAGCTAAACAACAAAAGAAATCTGAAGCTCCTATGTTGAACAGTTTCTGAGTTATAAGCATTTTTGCACGTCCAAGCACCCACTCTTTGAAAGGAGCCCCCTCCTCAAATATGGGGTCTATCGTAAAACTGTTGGCTGGCGCRGTGTAGGTCAGACTCATCTACAGTCCTGCCAAATTTCATGTTGATTGGTGCAGCCGTTTTTGTGCTACAGTTGACCAAAAATCTCCGGAGAAAAAAAAATTATAATAAAAAACAGTACGAAAACAATATGGCTCCCGCTTACGCTTCGCGTGCGGTGGTCATAATAAAACACCAAGGTTTGTGGGACTGGAGGAGGAGGAGCCCAGAGAACTGAGGTGTTGTTTGATCAAAGGAACTTCTTACTCAAAAGCAATGATCAGAGTTTCAGTCTTACTAGAATTTAATTGAAGACAATTTTTAGACACAATTTATTAGATCAGCTAACTTGAATAACTCTGAATCACTGAAAGGGCAGTACAGCTGAATATCATCAGTGTACAAATGGTAAGACACATTTTTAAAAGCTACTGAAAATAATACCAAGGGGACCGATGTACAGAAGGAACAATATTCAGTGTTTCCCCTGAGGGGGGCCAGGATAATGGCAGGGGAAACACTGATATTGGACCTAGTACTGAGATCTGTGGAACACCATATAACAGAGGAGAGGTAGCAGACATTGTTTTATTTGGAATGACCCTATGTCTGACTGCAGGATCAAACCCTGGACCTTCTTGCTGTGAGGCATCAGTACTAACCACTGAAACCATCATGCTGCATACATTGTATGGCCTGAGAACATACATAATACTCCAACAACTGGTGAGATCAGAACTGTCATCC